CCTTATGACAGTCGGTTTTAGATATGTTTTCTCCCACGAACGCTCACGTTATGGAATGAGCTCCCTGTCGAGGTTTTTCTAAGAGATTACAGAATGGGGTTCTTCAAAAAAGGCAAAGAGTTTTCTTCAAGGTCGGCAACGGACATGTAATGCAGGTGTTCCTAGGCTACGGTAACCGCTTACCGTCAGGTGGGCCGTATCCTTGTTTATCACCTCAGTGGTATAATAAAAAGCTGGGCAGCTTTCGGGAAACTCCGTCAGGTCTTTTTGAATTTAAAATATTTGAATTTAGAACATTAGAATCATTCAATTGAATGATGATTTCTAGAAGTTTCATAATTAGATTAATTATTAAACGTGATGTAAGGTCAGACACAAGACAATTCCGTTTTGGGCATGTGGCTATTCGAGTGGAACCCTAAAAATCGCTCACTGAGCCCATTTTACGATTTGGGCCGTAAAATGGACGTTAAAAATAGATACGTTCCATATCTGCAATATGACGGCGTTTCTTCGTCCATTTTGTAGATTTAACCGGTGACCCACTTTCTGTCTGTACATATTGATGTTCTAATTAATTTTATTAGTATACTAGCTACTCGGCCTGGCTTCGCACGTATACGATTTACATACATTCTCATTCATATAAACCATGCCCTGTCAAATGCAACAAAAAAAGTATAAGTTAAATAAATGTAACGGTTCTGAAACAATGTCTTTACATTTTTTTTTATACAACTTACAATGGCAAAGAAGCTGACGGCCCACCTGATGGAAAGTGGTAACCGTCGCCTATAGACATGAGCAGTGCCATGGACATATGTTATCCATTCTAAGTTGTATAAAAAAAGGCTCGTTTTCAACAAAAAAAAACTGCGGTTGCCAATCGGTCTTCCAAGCGTGGCAACTACTGGCAAAACCCCCCAGGGGTAGGCTTATGTTCAACAGTGGACGGTTAGAGGCTGATGTGATGATACAAATCTGTCACGCCTGTCCCCCATTAGGGTAGGCAGAAACAATGCAACGTCAAATGCTACGATTCAAACGGACCAACCAACTTCTATATTTATAATATTATTAATAATCATTACATCACCACTGACCTAGTTCGCTTTATATCTTTTGGGCTTATATCAAAAAAGAATGCCGTGTTTAATTTATCAGAATCCAAGGTAATTCTTCCTGCAGACTTGATTGGGGAGAAAGATTGATAGTAATGAGATTTAGCAATCCTATTGCTAGCAATATACTTTTTTTTTATTGGATGAAAATGGTATGGTAACCCCGCCTGCGCTAACGGGATACGCTGGGGGGAAAGGGATTGTTAGTAATGGAGACTGAGAATCCCATTGCTAGCAATATACCCAACCAGGTCGACCCCCTCGCGGTTCCCCCTGGAAACTCATGATCAATTCCTGATGAATTCATCGTGATGGGCTAACTGGCCTGTTTTCATTCTCATCTATCACCCTTCACTGGTGCTCCGCGAGCGTATCCCGTTAGCGCAGGCGGTGTTACCATACCATTTTCACCCATCAAAAAAAAAACTTCATTAACCATGAAGCAGTTGTGTTTGCATGGCTGTGTTTCAGTTTGAAGGGTGGGATATGGCAGTGAATTTACAGGGTACAGAGGAATAACACCTGAGTCCTCAGGAATGGCAACGCATGCGGGGTGTCATGGGCGAAACTGTTACGTCCATGGTACTTCTCATGTCTGTAGGCGACGGTTACCACTTTCTATCAGGTGGGCCGTCAGCTTGTTTGCCATTCAAAGTTATCATAAAAAAGAGAATATCTTTTGTTATTTACAGTCGGTTAAAAGTTAGACATTTGCCCAAAATGCCGATATTGTCGAGCGCCCGCCACATAGCTATTTGTTTGTATGCGAGAGGAAATTTTTTTTTGTTTGTCATAGAAATATTTGTACGATTGTAAAAATACGCGATAACACTGCTTGTTCAGAATATTTTGAGGTCGCTCGGTACGTATTTCATTTTATTTTCCTCTATTTTTTTTTATTGCCGATGTCTATGAAGATTTTTGTTAGTTGTCTCTGTTCCGCGGCTACGCCCGTGATGTTACATAGCCTGTAACATTCAAGGAATGGACAGTGAAATGCAGAGGAAGTTTGAAATTCGAAAACGACGCGTTCGACAGAGATTAACGCGTCCAAACAAATAGACTTTTCCGTTTATATTTTTTTCTTTTTTTTTTTTTTTAATGGATGATAATGGTATGGTAACCCCGCCTGCGCTAACGGTATACGCTGGCGGTGCACCAGTGGGAGATGATAGGTAATTATATATATATATATATATATATATATATATATATATATATATATATATATATATATATATATATATATATATATATATATATAATTGTTTTCTCAGTGTAATATTTTCATGTAATTGTTTGTATTTATAATAAGTTTTCTTATGTATATTTTTGGAGGAAACAATAAAGGGTATCTATCTATCTATATATATATATATATGCATATATATATAAAATTAAGTTGGAATTTTGTCAAATGTTTTACATTTTGACGCCATACAGTTGTATTATTGAATGTTTATTTTTAAATGGCAACGCATGAGGAGTGCAATGGGTGTCACAGTGTATCCTGTGACGTCCACGGTGCTGTTCGTACCGCACCGATTAGCTTTGTTTACCATTTCATTTGCATGGAAAAATTAAATGCACAGCGTGTAGGTCGACCTGACATATAATACTGTTAGCAATGAAGCTGTTAGTTTCACATATAAACATGACCAGAACCGTGGACTACACAAAGGTGCTCATACAGGGGGAAAGGGATTGTTATTATATAATGGTGATTAACACCACTATTGCTAGCAATACACCCTACCCTTTTTCTCTTGGGTGAAAGGAATTGTTAGAAATAAGGATCTAATAGTTCCATTGCTAGCAGTATACTCTATCAGGTCGACCTCCACGCGGTTCCTCCTGGAAACCGTCGTGACTAATTTATATGGAACTCATTTCACTGATCTGTCTTTTTATCCTCACCAATATTCCCTCACTAGTGCCTAGGTCATTGTATACCGATAGCGCAGGCGGAGATACCATTCCATTATCACGCATAAAAGAAAAGAATATCATGGTTTAGAGCGGTGTTTCCCAACGTGGGGCCCACGTCCCACAGGGGGGCAGTTTGATAGTTAGGGGGGGGGGGCAATTAAAAAATTAACTCGAAGCGATTTTAACCCTTTTGGTGCCATTGATTTTTACTCGTATCTACTTAAAAATGCCAAAGAAATCTTTGTCGTGTTGATGTCATTTACCCTTGTCTCGAAAAAACTGTATCTCCTCCAAAAAATATCCAATTTTAATATTATTTTTTTATACAGCAAGCTAAACAGCGACTGATTTCACAAGCGCTATGATGCTCGTGGCACTTTTAGTTGCAATGCGCAAATGCAATGCTACGAGTATATATCGGTGTCAAAGGGTTTATCCGGATAAATATGTCGAATCTGCCCCCAAATGGGAACCTATATCGAAACTTATGTTTTAATATCTACTTGGTGTACCAGCACGATTGATTTATTTCTACCAGAGGGAGACTTTGTACAAAAGTCGATTGCTTGGGTACTTCTGTCCCGTTCGTGTTTCTACCGTGAAGCAGTTGTGTTTGCATGGCTGTGTTTCGGTTTGAAGGGTAGGATATGGCGTGAATTTACTGGGTACAGAGGAATAACACCTTAGTCCTCAGGAATGGCAACGCATGGGTATTATCATGGGCGAAACAGTATACTCTGTTATGTCCATGGTACTGCTCATGTCTATAAGCGACGGTTACCACTTTTCATCTGGTGGGCCGTCAGCTTGTTTGCCATTTTAAGGTGTATAAAATAAAATAAATGTATATTCCGCGACCAACTTTCACCTTGACCTTGAGATATGAGAAAAAATAGCCGTACGCCGGACTATTATTCAAAGTAATATATCTCAAAAACTTTTTAAGCTAAAGAAGCGAGACCAATGCGAGGTTGTAGGTTACATTACAGAGTATATCGTATATTTTTTTTAGAATTTTTACAAGATCTTTTTATATAATAAAATTAAAAAAAAAATTTGTTTTTCGTATTGTTTGAGACTTACAATCACGAAAATAATATATGTCATGCTACTTTATATGCTCTGTTACACATAAAAATTGTTTGAGAAAAAAGTTGGTGCAACACTTCGAAAAAAAAATTAAAAGTGATTCGCGCCTTATATGGATCTGAACATGATTTTACCTAACACGCGGACAAAATTGTAAACAAACATATTTGGACTTGTTATCACGTTAACAGACAAATTATTAGAACTATTGTGGACAGAAGGCGAAAAATGTTAGGACACTTGATACGACACGACGAACTTATGAACATTATAATAGAAGGTAAGATAGAAGGAAGAAGGGGGAGAGGGAGACCGAGACATAGTTACATCAGGCAGATCAAGGAAGGAGTTGGTGTCGTGTCGTGTCAAGAGGTGAAGAGGCTCGCTGAAAATCGTAGTGAGTGGCAAGAGCTCCACCGACAAGAGCGCAGCTCTTAAATAGGATAGATAGATAGATAGATCACGTTATTTATTGTATGGTTTACTAACTTCGCATTATTGGTGTTGCTCTAGAAGATAGCTTATGACTTTGACAGCGAAGCTTCTAGTTCTAAATGTGGTTGGTTGGGTATATTGCTAGCAATGGGATTCTTAGTCTCCATTACTAACAGTCCCTTTCCCCCCAATCCATACGGGGTTACCATACTATTTTCATCCATTAGAAAATTCTTCGTACATTGCTATTCCTGAGGATTGATATTGTTAAGTTTTTGCCCAGCGGCAAAAAAGAATGGGACAGAGGTACCCGTGCAGACGAGGTACAAAGTCTGCCTCTAGTTAAACATATGTAATTAGTAATTTGATACAAGTATTAATGTATTTACAATAACAAATATAGATAAACAATGTTCATTGTTGCAGGTAACAATCGACCGTAATCCAACCACCGAGAGTCTACATTCCAAGAACCAGAGAGTACCTAATATTATAAAGACATTATAGAAAAATACACATACATACATTGTTTCGACCAAAATTTTCTACCAAAATATACAAAATTGTATAGTGAACCTGCCTTCATACCAAAGCCTTCTAGATTACTTATTCGGGGTGAATGACCCGTGTACAGTCAGACTTAGTTATCGGGTGATAGTACAGTTGGAGTCGTGAAGAGACGACTCACTTGAACACATTGGAACTGCACAGCTGTTCAATGAAAATGATGCCTCAACAGTATTGCCTCAGGTGGAAGCACCATCATTCCAACGTGCAGAATATGTTCGCACAGCTTCTGGAGAAAGGTCAGTAACCTATCTTAGTAATTACCTTAGCAATATCTATATATCGTAGTTACAATATCTATACATATATTGGCCCAGTAACAGATATATTAGCTATCGACTATTCAATATGTAACATCGAAAAGAAGAGCTCGTAATGTATAATATGGTAGATATTCGACTGGTATGGGCGATATCGAAATGGCTGGTCATCAATATGCAGAAGAACTCGATACATAGATATCGGATAATACCTATCTCTGTATTTAATATTATTAAATTATAGACAAAGGGAGAGAGGGAGACTTTATACAAAAGTCGATTGCTTGGGTACCTCTGTCCGTAACCGTGTGTCGTGGTAACCGTCGCCTATAGACATGAGCAGTACCATGAACGTAACAGAGTATACTGTTTCGCCCATGATACCCCCATACGTTGCCATTCCTGAGGATTCAGGTGTTATTCCTCTGTACCCAGTAAATTCACGCCATATCCCACCCTTCAAACCGAAACACAGCCATGCAAACACAGCTGCTTCACGGTTGAAACACGAATGGGAATTTTTAGAAGTTGCAACAAATAAGGTCCTTACCGTTCTTGTTTAACATAACAGAGTATACAGTTTCATTCCATATTCGATTAAATATGGCAGTAAATTTACAGGGTATAGAGGTATAACACCTGAGTCCTCAGGAATGGCAACGCATGGGGGGCATCATGGACGAAACAGTAGTACACTCTGTTATGTCCATGGTATTGCTCATGTGTATAGATGACAGTTACTACTTTCCATCAGGTGGGCCGTCAGCTTGTTTGACATTCTAAGTTGCATTAAAAAAACTTCAAAAATGGAGGCTTTTAATACGATTGTATTTTTTCTTTAAAAAGCAGTAAGTTCTCAGTTTTTTTTTGTTAAGTTTGCTACCACAGAACTCCGTTATTTATGAACCGATTTGGAAATTATTTTTTTTATTCGAAAGTTTGTACTTTCAGATTCGTCCCATGCATTTTATCAAAATCGGTCTAGTAGATTGATGGATACTTTATTTATATGCTAGCGGCCCGTCCCGGCTTCGCACGGGTGGACATTTTTACATTTTAAAAAGTGGCCATTAAGGCTGCACACGCGATGGAAGCTTAAAAATGGAGTAACTTTTCCCGTTTTCCCAACATTTCCCTTCACTGCTCTGCTCCTATTGATCGTAGCGTGATGAAAAGTATACTGTAACCTGCCCAGGAGTATGAGGAATAATTGTACCAAGTTTCGTTAAAATCCGTCGACTAGTTTTTGTTTCTATAACGAACATACAGACAGACAGACAAAAATTTTACTGATTGCATTTTTGGCATCCGTATCGATCACTTATCACCCGCTGATAGTTATTTTGGAAATATATCTATAGATCGACCTGGTTGGGTATGCCAGCAACAGGGTCCTTAGTCTCCATTACTAACAAATATATATATATATATATATATATTTGCTTAGCAATAAGACCGCCTTTTGTACTACACTATGCTTTTTGAAAATCCTTCAAGAAGTCCTGTAATATTGGTGCAGTAAAGTGTTAAATAAATAAATAAAATAATATATTATCATAAAGGAATAATTAACCTGCGTATAGATTATTAGAAAAACAGATTTTTAATTGTTAATTATTTAAATAGCACTTATTTTTTATCACCTACGTAATAATATAACCATAAAGCATGGCGCGGTCGATGTCAAAATCCTTTCAAGTAGGTAGTTTGGTCTGGTCAAATAAAAAACTAGACGCTGACACTGTAAACCTTTCGAAGCGAGTTTTCCGTTTGATTTTTGACCAAATGTCAATAAGTTATACTTAAAATAGAAATTGTTTTCATCGCAAACTGTTGGAAGTTTCATTTGATAACCGGGGGGGGGGGGGGGGGTATTCTTAGTAGTGCGGTCACCCACCGTAGTTTTTTTTTTATTATTTCAGCCATTTTTATTTAGCCATATCTATTTTTTTAACGCGCCACGTACCTGTTTATTCTTTAATTCCTTCTACCCAAAGGTTGTCTGGAAGAGATTGCTTAGCAATAAGATCTCTTTTTGTACTACACTGTACGTATTGAAAATTGTTTAACAAATCATGTTATGTTGGTGCAATAAAGTGTTAAATAAATAAAAATAAATAAATACGTTTGGCAGGCGGGGTTTTTTTTTAATGGGTGATAATGGAATGGTAACCCCACTCGCGCTATCGGTATATACCGGCGGAGCACCAGTGGGAGATGATAGGTGAGGATGAAGCAGGTCAGTTAGCCCATCGTGACGAACTCAACAAGAATTGTTCACGATGGTTTCCAGGGGGAACCACGTCGAGGTCGACCTGATAGGGCATATTGCTAGCAATGTCGAACTCCATTGCTAACAATCTCTTTCTCCCCTAGCGGCGGGGACGCTGCTGTCCATCCCTCAACTGTTAAGTTCCCTTAGTCGCTCTTATGCCATCCACGGGAAAGGATAGGGTAGCCTATTGTATGCCAGGACTTCACGGCATTGCTACGTGCATGCATACCCCCCAATGCATTGCCATTCCTGAGGACTCGGGTGTTATTCCTCTGTACCCTGTAAATTCACGCCATATCCCACCCTTCAAACCGAAACACAGCCATGCAAACACAACTGCTTCACGGTTGAAACACGAATGGGACAGAGGTACCCAAGCAATCGACTTTTGTACAAAGTCTGCCTCTGGTAGAAATTTACCCCAATTTTTCCATGTCCATTAGATTTTTCTCCAAAACTCTTCCCCACCACATTTCTTCAAAATTTCACGAACGCAAAAGTGTTTATTGGAAATTGCGAAAATAAATATGTACTTAATTTGGCAACGCTTCGAAGCCTCAAATTTAAAAATAAACCCAAAGTCCAAAGATCCGGCTCGAAATATCCGAAGAACCAGTTTTTGCTATCTAAATATCTAGTTCATATTATATAAAAGAAGGACGAATAGTCAAGTATCTAAAAACGATACGTGCTATTTGATGTTTTTTTTTTTTGTAATAGGCGAAAATGGAAGGAGAAGGAATGGTTTTTTTTGTGATGGGTGAAAATAGTTTGGACACCCCGCCTGCGCTAACGGGATACGCTTGCGGAGCACCAGTGAAGGGTGATAGATGAGAATGAAAACAGGCCAGTTAGCCCATCATGATGTATTCATCAGGAATTAATCATGATAGTTTCCAGGGGGAACCGCGAGGAGGTGGACCTGGATGGGTATATTGCTAGCAATGGCATTCTCAGTCTCCATTACTAACAATCCCTTTCCCCCCGAGAAGGAATGGTTAGTAATGAACATTAGTAGTCCCATTGCAAGTAATAAATAAATCCTGTCAGGTTGACTTCGCGGTTCCCCCTGGAAACTATCGTGTTCTATTCCAAGTGAATTAATCACGATGGGCTAACTGACCCGCCTTTTCATCCTCACCTATCATCCGTCACTGGTGCCCCGCCAGCATATACTATTAGCGCGGACGGGGTTACCATTCCATTAACATTAAAAAAAAATCACGGTCCTTAAACCTTAGGAATGGCAATGCATGGGGCGTCTCATGAGTGAAGCAGTATACTCTGTTATGTCCATGTTACTGCTCATGTCTGTGACGACATGTCTGGCGACGGTTGCCACTTTCCATCAGGTGGGCTGTCAGCTTGTTTGCCATTCTAAGTTGCATAAAAAAAAATACATTATTTCGTTATATTTCAGCAATTTCGATAAGAGCTCTTCTCAGTCGACGTGATTTCTTCCGACGTCTTGAACAATTATCGTCATATTTCAACAAATTAACACAAAATAATATTAAACTATACGCGTAAACCTTCCTCATGAATCATTCTATCTACTATTAAAACTGCATTAAAATCAGTTGCGTAGTTTAAAAGATCTAAACGTACAGACGACGGGAAACGACTTTGTTTTGACTATTTAAAGATTAAACTGTAGTTTATGCAAATTTCACCACTGATTGGAATATAAATAAAATGCGTATTAGTTTTTTTTTTAACTCGTCTGTCTATTAGCGTTTGTTTTATCTGATAATTTAAATGTTTTATACTAATTTGACAGCACATGTACTTATATTTATTATTATTGACTATTTTAGGAAAGGTGGTTTGCTTTATATTGCTTTTGTTTTGTTATTATATATCAAGCTAAAAGATGTCTCATCAAAATTTATAACTTTTTAATTATTATAGATGTGTGTATGTATGCGTGTGTATGTGTATGTATGTGTATATGTGTATGTGTGTATGTATGTATGTGTATGTATGTATTTTGCATATATAAAAACCGATCATTGTCATTAAGCAAATGTGAAAACTATTCATGGCTTAACATAGATATAAATTTGATTATGTATTGACTGTAATTCAGCTGTACGTTTTCCAAAAAATAAATAAATATGTTTATTAACTGATTTTTTCTTTTTTTTTCTCTTCTACTATTATTTATATATACATATTTTGGTGAGCTTTACAAATTTACCAATGCACTTGAGACGAGACACAATGTCTCGTGGTGTTGACTGTTTCTAGGACGCCTCCCTTGCATTTCTCTTCTTCGTCGACTTTATATTTACCAAAATACGAAATAAATGACAGTTATTTAAAAAGGGTTTGGAAAAATTCGGAGATTTAGGCTAGCGGTGTTATGGTAGACGAATTGAGAATAAAGTGCGTATTGTGTTTGATTGCAGAGAGGTTCTGCGACGTGACCCTGTACTGCTCGCCGAGCTTCGCCACACAAGTGCCCAACAAAGACACTGTCGACCCGCAGAACATAAGAGGGGTGTCCCTCAGGGCGCACAGGTGGGACCATCACTGTTTTGTATATAATATAGGATATATTGTCATTGACAATAGGTGGTATATGGCAGTGAATTAAAGGGTACAGAGGTATAACACCCGAGTCCTCAGGAATGGCAACGCATGGGGGGGAAGGGGTATCATGGGCAAAACAGTACACTCTGTTATGTCCATGGTACTGCTCATGTCTATAGGCGACGGTTACCACTTTCCATCAGGTGGGCTGTCAGCATGTTTGCCATTCTAAGTTGTATAAAAAAAATTATTGCACTTGAACGAAAGATAAGAAAGAGAGAAAATAATTTGTGGTTAATCAAGTGCAGGAAAGGTACAGGTAAAAATGTAGACAAGGTAAATAGAATACAAATAATATATATATATAAAATAAATGCATAGTATTATTAGTTAAAAGTGAGATTTCAATCATTTCACACCGTGTCTATCGTATGACAAGTAAGAAAATAGCCCAAAATCTGAGAGAGAGAATCTTGACCAATTCTATAAGTATTGGGGTATGCTTTGATCAACTTTCGTAGACCTGTGTCCGGTAGCGAAACGTGATAAACTATATATTGTATATATAAACGAATAAATATGTTATTACTATATTCTGTTTCCAGAGTGGTGCTAGCGGCATGTTCGGAGTTGCTCGGCGCGTTACTAGGCGCGCATGAAGCTCAAGGCGAGCCTGTACTAGTGATAGACGGAGCGGAGCCCAAACACCTGAAGGCACTGCTCGACTATATGTATACCGGCGAGATGAACGTCCATCACGTGAGTGCAACTAAGGCCTTTTAATGTGAAATATATAGTCAGTTATGCGGGTGATACTAGGCGCGCATAATGTCAAAGGTGAGGGAGGACTCAGGTGTTATTCCTCTGTACCCAGTATATTTACGCCATATCCCACCCTTCAAACCGAAACACAGCCATGCAAACACAACTGCTTCACGGTAGAAACACGAATGGGACAGAGGTACCCAAGCAATCAACTTTTGTACAAAGTCTCCCTCTGGTTATATATATTCATTTTAATCAAGCTATAATTTCAATGTTATATACTGGATTACTGGCTGTGTAGTCCCAGCATCGAATAGACCACCACCTCCTATCCCGAGGACGTCGTAAGAGCCGACTAAGGGAAGGCGAGGGATGTGCAGCAGCATCCCTCTCAAAACATCTCTAAAGCTTGACTGCGGTTGCCAGTCCGCCTGCCAAGCGTGGTAACTACTAGCAAAGCCCTCCAAAAGGGAGGCTTATGGAGTTATGATGATATCTGATAACCGATATTTCATATATACGATCACCATCATCATCATGATGATGATTCTAGTCCGCGTTACCAACGATCCCTTCCCTGTAAATATTTATTGTTGATACAATGCGTGTGAACAGTCTCAGCTGGCGAGCCTGCTGAAGACGGCCGAGGAGCTGAGGATCAAAGGTCTGACGGACATCCGGTGGAACAACAAGGATGAACCGCCCGACTGTGATACCGGTGAGCGTTTAATAATAATCCTTAAACCTTAGATTATATACATAGAGTATCTCCATAGATAACCGACATAGCCCGAAGGATAAGCAAGCTTGCCACTTGGCAATGGGCTGGTCACATAGCTCGAAGAACCGATAACCGAAGGAGAAGAAAGGTTCTTGAGTGGCGACCGCGTACGGGTAGACGCAGTGTAGGACGACCCCCTACTAGATGGAGTGACGACCTGAAATGCGTTGCTGGGAGTCAGTGGATGCAGGTGGCTCAGGACCGTTCTTTATGGCCGTCTTTGGCTTATGTCCAGCAGTGGACGGATAATGGCTGAGTGATGATGATGATGAAAGATTCCTTTACAACTTATATATATATTTATATATATTTATATTTTATATTTTGTCTCATAATTTCTGTATCTTTTTAATGCGTAAACATTAATTTTATTTATTAAACAATAAGTCGAGATACATTATATGCATAAGTATATAGAACGAGTCAGCTAACTTGACAGGTAGCTGACAAAAAGTTGACCCGTTTTTGAGGTTCGATGCTCTATCTATATAATCTAAAGCTTAAATATAATAAAATCATGGATAATATATAAGAAAAACTATTATAGGGGGGAGGGGGGGTTTATGAATGCAATAGAACCCAAAACAACGATTTTTAGAATTTTTGTCTGTTTGTCTGTACGTTTGTGCGCGCTAATCTCAGAAAGAGCTTAACCCATTTGAATGCGGTTTTCACTAATGCGTTTCGGTTTGCACCATTTGACATTTAGTGTTTCTTTTATTTCAACCAGTTCTTAAATAAAAAATAAATATATCCTCTATCGGTATACGCTGGCGGGGCACCAGTGAGGGATAGTAGGTGAGGATGAAAAGGCAGGTCAGTTAGCCCATCGTGATGAATAAATCTGGAATTCAGCACGATGGTTTCTAAGGACGAGCACGTGGAGGTCGAGATCTGAGGGTATATTGCTAGCAACAGGACTAGTAATTCGCTTTACTAACAATCCCTTCTCCCCTCCCTCCCCCCGTATTTAATATATGCTTACTAGGGGATGTACTTTTTAATCCGGTCAATGAAAACATCCTGATTACGCGGACAAAGTCACGAGTAAAAGCTAGTAAATAAATAAATATTAATTATGACACAGGCGTGGTGACAGCTGTGGCTACACATGAAAAGAAAAGCACGGAGAAGGTAGAGAAGCAATTGTCACCGAAGCACGCGGCGCCGAAGCAGTCGTCACCGAAGCAAACGTCGCCGAAGCACACACCGCCGAAGTCCGACTCGGTGGCGGAACTGCGCCCGTGCGTGGAGAAGGAAGATAGTGAGAAAGAGACCAAGTCGGGGGAGAAGTTTAGTGTGAACGGTATGTTTTGCGGAGTAATTTTATTTTATTTGACAGTTTCCGTTAAATTTATCATTGGGGTCAATTTTGAGAGTAAACCTTAGATCTTACCAGAGGGAGACTTTGTACAAAAGTCGTTTGCATGGGTACCTCTATCCCATTCGTGTTTCTACCGTGAAGCAGTTGTGTTTGCATGGCTGTGTTTCGGTTTGAAGGGTGGGATATGGCGTGAATTTACTGGGTACAGAGGAATAACACCCGAGTCCTCAGGAATAGCAACGCATGGAGGGGTATCATGGGCGAAACAGTATACTCTGTTATGTCCATGGTACTGCTCATGTCTATAGGCGACGGTTACCACTTTCCATCAGGTGGCTTTTCATAAATTTACTATAGGACTAATCGACGGTTTACAACTGACGGAGTTATGAGGTAATTAATATAAAAAAAATACTACCGAAAGGAGAACTTTTTTTTTTGAAGTAAATGTAAAAGTGCCTATAAACATAGATGCTAGCTTCGTCGTAGGTGTACGTCGTGGACCGTCATTAGCATCACAGATTTAATTTTATTACCCGTAAAAACAATAAATTAGGCAATAAAAATTAGTGTTTTATTACTTTTTTATGTAAATATATAATCTGTTACAAGATAGTGATGTTTGTTTATATATATGTATGTATATATATAAATATATTTACATTATTGCATGTAATACATATCCATATGTAAAATTGAATCGAATTCTCGTCGTGTTTCCTGTCAAACTGTTTTAAACTCTTCACTTATAATAATAAATAATCATAATTTATATTATATATATATATATATATATATATATATATATATATATATATATATATATATATATATATTATTGTATCTAATTCAATTTTTATTATTGATAATTGAATGTTAAATGTTTAAAATGAACAAACAGGTGGGCCACCGCCGTTAATAAAGCTGCCCATGAAGGAGAAAACGAGCCCCGTGAAACGAGATCGCTCAGATTCGTAAGTTTATTTATTTATTTAAACTTTAACGCACAGTAAAATTCTGTGTACATTTAGCGGACTTAACACCGGACGGTGTTCTCTACCAGTCGACCATTGGGCGAACAGAGAAATACGTAGCCGGTGCATTATTGAATAGAGAAAAAAATAAAGTAATATTTGATAAATTCATATAATATAAACATACACATAATATATTTAATAAATAAATATATATATATATATACAATCCAAATTCCCAGAGGGTTTTTTTTTAATAGATAAAAATGGAATGGTAACCCCGCCCGCGCTATCGGTATACACCGACGAGACACCAGTGTAAGACGATAGGTGAGAATGAATGCAGGTCAGTTGGCCCACCGTGATGAATTCGACAAGAATTCGCCATGATGGTTTCCAGGGGGAACCGCGTGGAGGTCGACCTGAGAGGGTATATTGCTAGCAATGGGACTATTAGACCTCATTATTAACAATCCCTTTTCCCCCTCCCAAAGAGGGTTGACGTTGAATTAATCATGATAATTTCCAGGGGAAACCGCGAGGAGGTCGACCTGGTTTGGTTATATTGCTAGCAATGAGATTCTCAGTATCCATTACTAACAATCCTTTTCCCCCTATTCCATAGTATTTTACTATAAAATATTTTTATTTTTAATTCAACAATTTACAAAAACTGCGTTACGTATTACTCGAATGCCCCTTTATAGTCATTTATTCATTCATTTATATTATAACTTAAGTATATGGACACAGTATATAATTAACGCCATTGTTGCAGCGAGTCGCCGAGCCCGAAGCGACGTCGCGCGACAAGTGCCACGGAACACACCGACGACGACTCTGTGTCGCATAAGTCGTGAGTAAAACTATTTGTGTGTTTATCTTTAACACATGTTTCTTAATGGGTGATAATGGAATCGTAACCCCGCCTTCGCTATCGGTATACACCGGCGGGGCACCAGTGAGGGATGATAGGTGAGGATGAAAGCAGGTCAGTTAGCCCATTGTGACGAATTCCACTAGAAATAACCACGACGGTTTCCAGGGGGAACCGCATGGAGGTCGCCCTGATAGCCCATTGCTAGCAATACACCCTGTATTGCTAGCAATGGGTCAATTAGACCCCATCGCTAACAATCCCTTTCACCCCTCTTTAATACATTTAGGAAACGTTGCTAGTAACGGAACTGATAAATTCCCATTACTAACAATCCCCTGTCCCCCCCAATCACTATGAAGTTTGGTATAGACGTACTATATACGGGATAGCGAAAGATATCTGAATAGAAGAGAATAGAATAGAAACATTTATTCCCATACAATTACAATATAACATCAGTACAGAGGTATAACACCTGAGTCCTCAGGAATGGCAACGCATAGGGGGTATCATGGGCGAAACAGTATACTCTGTTATGTCCATGGTACTGCTCATGTGTATAGGCGACGGTTACCACTTTCCATCAGGTGGGCCGACAGCTTGTTTGCCATTCAGAGTTATATAAAAATATATATATATATATATATATATATATATATATATATATATATATATATATATATATATATATATATATATATATATATACAAAACATATACAAAAAGTGTCCCATATTAAGCAAAAGGAACCGACTCAGCTGATGTAGCTTTTTTTTTATATATTAAACAAGTCGTCATAGTCGTAGAATACTGACGGATATATATATATATATATATATATATATATATATATATATATATATATACGTAATCTTTGTCAGATTCGTCAGTCCGTCCGTCCCACACTAACAGTTCGTAAAAAAAAAAGTCTAAAAGTTGCCAATGTTAAACATATTGTTTCAGTGATCGAGATCAAGAATGGCAACACGGTAATTTGGTGAGTAAGGTATTACAATATTTCAAATATATTTCCTTAGTAAAGTAACGCCACATTGGCAAAATGAGGTTTAGTTCATTTTAAACTTACGCATTGTTGACACAATGGCATGTATGAATAGTTGACACATGGAATGGCAACGCATGGGGGGGTATCATGGGCGAAACAGTATACTCTGTTATGTCCATGCTACTGCTCGTGTCTATAGTTAACGGTTACCACTTTCCATCAGGTGGGCCGTCAGCTTGTTTGCCATCCTAAGTTGCGTAAATAAAGATATTTTAAATACACCATTGGGATATACCTGCTTTTTTATTGCCGATGTTTTAACTTGGATTGCTCTACGTCTAATGGCCGACGCCGAATGCCAAGCGTGGCAACTACTAGAAAAGCTCCCCTTAAGGGGAGGCCTATTTTTGTATACAATTTAGAATGGCAAACAAGCTGACGGCCCACCTGATGGAAAGTGGTAACCGTCGCCTATAGACATGAGCAGTGGCAGTGCCATGGACATAACAGAGAGAATACGCGACGGATTTTGATGAGTTTTTTAAATAGAAAGAGTGATTCAAGAGGAAGGTTTCTATGTATAATACATGCATAATATTGTAGAGAAACAATGATAAATTTAGAGGTTTCTAATGTGATGCCGTAATGCAATGGGGGGGGGGGGGGGTAGCGCTAATTAGTATCAGCATTGCACCCGGGCGAAGCCGGGATCGGGTCGCTGGTTTTTTTTTTTAATCTACGTTTTAATTCGGGATGTTTATTTTTTAACATGTCAATCCCATAAAATCTAAACAAGTTATCTGCTATTATAATTATGACTAAACAATACTACTTACTAATTCACTTAAGCACAAAGCAATTTTGTTAGTAGGAGCATGCATTATGCTCTGAACAATCCCCACATCAAATTTATTTATATTAAATATTTTTAAAAATGTCCCCTTTCCCTTCGGCTCCTATCACATTCCATCAATAAGTGCTGTACATCTTCAACTTTACCACAGACAATGCAATTTGGTGGATTTTCTTTTTTTTTTCATTAAATATGCAAACTTTCTTGATGGATAGTGACCGGATCTGATACTTGAAATTAACTTAATTTTATTTCTATTTAATTCACTATCTAAAAACCAAGGTATCAATCAGAAGAGGCTCACATTGAATTGTCTTATGTCGCTGGTTATTGTAATAATTCTTGTATTATCCTCGATTATTTGATACTGCACATTCATTGGGCCCAGCTTAATTTTTTTTTTTTTAATTTAAATTTAATCTAAAACCTAATCTTAGGACATATCTGCGGAGCGCGTTGTCGCGTGGGGCATGGGATCGGAACAAGCGGGCGAGTGGTCGCGCGACGGCTCCGACGACGAGTGGGCGGACGCACCCGCCGATATTGGTTCCTTCCTGCACACGCGGTTACGCGTCGACGGCGACAACAGCGCCGGTATGTACTCTGTAGATTTATAAGTGTACAGTTCACATGAACTACACATTTTTTTTTGATGGGTGAAAATGGTATGGTAAGACCCCTGCGCTAACGGGATACGCTGACGGAGCACCAGTGAAGGGTGATAGATGAGAATGAAAACTGGCCAGTTAGCTCATCATGATGAATTCGTCAGGAATTAACCATGATAGTTTCCAGGGAGAACCGCGAGAAGGTCGACCTGGTTGGGTGGGTATATTGCTAGCAATAGGATTCTCAGTCTCCATTACTAACAATCCCTTTTCCCCCATGAACTACACATTCTAAATTTAATTTTACAATAACAAGAAGAATGGAAGAGAAAACAAAAAAAAAAATACGCCGACCCCAAATAATAATTGGAATAAGGGTACGAAAATGATGATGATGATGAATGACTCTTTTTAGTTTTTTATTTATCAAAAAAAAAAGCATAAATTATGAAACAGCAAGAGAGAAGTACTGTATCTTCCCTATTACCCAAGCCCAAGCCAATCCGAACAAGACAGCGATTTCTGTTTTAATGAGTGATAATGAAATGGTAGTGAATGAATGAAATGGAAAGGTCGAGAGATGGTCAGTAGCGTCCCTCTTAATACATCTCTAAGGCCTAACTGCAGTTGCCAAAACGCCTGCCAAGCGTGGCAATTACGGGCAAAACACTCTAAGGGGGAGGCTTATGCTCAGCAGTGAACAGTTAAGGCTGATGTGACGGGTGGTATGGTATCCCCGCCTGCGCTGTCGGTATACACTGGCGGGGCACCAGTGAGGAACGATAGGCGAGGATGAGACCTTACTCCATCGTGATGAATTCCACAAGAACTAACCACGATGGTTTCTAGAAGTAACTGCATTGAGGCCGATCTGATAAAATATATTGCTAACAATGGGGCTGTTAGATTCCCATTACTAACGATTCCTTTCCCCTTAGCGATTCCAGTGACCAGGGGTAGTCACTCCCGGAGATGATGTTAGGATAAAGAGACTCGTCTGGAGGCTTCCACCTGTTTCTTAGCGAAGACTCATCGTCTTCATGTGAAAAATATAATACTAACTTTAAGCCGTGACTTTGTCAGTGTAACTGTAATAAAAAGTAGCTTATATCCGTCTTCATATGGAAAGAGAAATTTTCATGAAACAAAAGTCGATTGCTTTGGTACCTCTGTCCCATTCGTGTTTCAACCGTGAAGCAGTTGTGTTTGCATGGCTGCGTTTCGGTTTGAAGGGTGGGATATGGCGTGAATTTACTGGGCACAGAGAAATAACACCTGAGTCCTCAGGAATGGCAACGCATGGGGGGTATCATGGGCGAAACAGTATACTCTGTTATGTCCATGGTACTGCTCTTGTCTATAAGCGACGGTTACCACTTTCCATCAGGTGGGCCGTCAGCTTGTTTGCCATTCTAAGTTGTATAAAAAGAAAAAACTTTACATACATATGGCATGTATACCAAATTTTATGATGATTTGTCGAGCCGTTAAAGAGGTTAAGTGGTGACAAACATAATTTCCCATTTATAATACACTAGTTTTTACCCGTTTTTCATCCGTTTTGCCCAATCTGTCCCTTCCACACTGTATGTTTTAGTGCCGGGGGAATGGTCAAGTCAATCGACTTTTAGAATCTCTAAAATGTGACCGTTTACAGACGAAGAGTCTAACGAGAGTGGTGCGGCGGCGGCGCCCCCCTCCGCGCCGTCGTCTTCCTCCTCGGCGGCGGCCTCAGACCTCAAGCTGGACTTCATCATCAGCAAACGTTAGTGACATACCAGTTTATTTCTTTTATATTCGTGTATTTTAGTACACGTTCAAGAAATAATCAAATTCTGATACAAGTCCGGGGACTCGGACAAGTTCTTCAAGAACTTGTTTGTATCTAGATCACTTTATGATACTAATGCTTCAAATTATTTCTGAAGCTAACTTTTTAATGAATATTCAGCCATTTAATAATTTTTCGTGTAGTGTCTTCATCCTTACCTATTATTCCTCACTGGTGCCCCGCCAGTGTATACCGATAGCGCAAGCAGGGTTATTATTTCATTATCACTCGTAAGAAATAAAGAATTGGTACTGGCTCTCTCTCTTTTTCTCTCGTCCTCTCCTCGCTCTCTCGTCCTCCCTCTTGCTCTCTCCCATCTTCTCCCTCGCTCTCTCTCGTCATCTCCCTTGCCCTCTCTCGTCATCTCCCTTGCCCTCTCTCGTCATCTCCCTTGCTCTCTCGTCATCTCCCTGGATTTCTCTCGTCAACTCCCTGGATTTCTCTCGTCATCTCTCTCTCTCTCTCTATCTCTCTCTCTCGACTTCCACTTGTACTCTCTCTCTCTCTCTCTCTCTCTCTCTCTCTCTCTCTCTCTCTCTCTCTTGCTCCGTCACACTAACGTGGTGCCGCCCATATGGTTGCAGCGACGATAGGTCCCAAATCTGGCCCGACGGACCCGCGGTTCACGGACGTGGTGAAGCTGAGCGACTACCTGCAGCACGGCCGCCGCCCGCAGTTCTGGGAGGAGAACTACGTCAAGAGGGTGAGCATCTGGTGGAAATGTATTATCTAGTATGGACAACAGCGTCCTTCTTAAAACATCTCCAAAGCCTAACTGCGGTTGTCGATCCGCTTGCCAAGCGTGGCGACCATTGGCGTAATACTATATATTGGTCCAATAAACAATATGTAAAAAGTCTGTTATCCAAAAAACTTTTTACATATTCTTTATTGTACTCGCGACTAGTGATAAGCCATTAAGGCGCTAAGAGGGAACAAACTCATTTTGAGATTTTTTTTTTATACAACTTAGAATGGCAAACAAGCTGACGGCCCACCTGATGGAAAGTGGTAACCGTCGCCTATACACATGAGCAGTACCATGGACATAACAGAGTATACTGTTTCGCCCATGATTCCTGAGGACTCGGGTGTTATTCCTCTGTACCCAGTAAATTCACGCTAATTCAAATATATAATATTAAGTTGGTTTGAGATTTTATTTCTTAAAAAAACATAACTGTAGTTCTTTAACTATTTAACTAATATCATTATTACAGTTTTATGAGGGTTTAGGAGTTCTAGGCTCCTAAATATGTTAATAAACATACAGTGTAATAACCTGTGTTAAGGGGCCACAGCCCCAACCCCCCTTTAAAAGTGATGATTATTTTATCACCCAGGTGATGGAGGCGGTTCGTGTGAAAGAGCTGGAGATGAAGCAAGCGGCGGAGATCCTGGGCGTCAGCTACGGGACGCTGTACGGACGCTACAGGGACGTGTACGGGTGCATCAATAGGCCCTACCGGTGAGTGCTACATACACGACTCGCGTAAGATGTTCATTTCTAATTTGGTACATGGAATAGCAAACAATATGCCGCCTGTAGGCATGGATAATATAGAGTAATATCTAGCAGTATCTATATATTGCAGTTACAAAAACCTATATATTGGTCCAATAATGGAAACGTTAACTCTGTCCCATTCGTGTTTCTACCGTGATGCAGTTGTGTTTGCATGGCTGTGTTTCGGTTTGAAGGGTGGGATATGGCGTGAATTTACTGGGTACAGAGGTATAACACCTAAGTCCTTAGGAATGGCAATGCATGGGGGTGTCATGGATGAAACAGTATACTCTGTTATGTGCACGGTACTGCTCATGTCTATAGATGACGGTTATCACTTTCCATCAGGTGGGTCGTCAACTTGTTTGCCATTCTAAGTTGTATAACAAAAATGAATATAGTTGTAGAGGAAAGGATTGAGCAGAAATGATGGAGCGTCATTTTATCCGTGTAAGGGAGCATTACTTGTCACTATGTTGACGTATTATGTATATGTGTATGTATATTTATATATGTTTATATGTGTATATATATATGTATGTGTATATATGTGTATATTTACAGGGTTTATGTATTTTATAATGTGTAGTTTGTATTATTCTTTGTGTATACATGTCTTATGTGTTTATACAATGTACGCAGATCAAATGACGGCCTGTTTTTATTTTATAAAATAACACACAATTTACATGAAAAGGTTTTGCTGGAAGAAATCTCTTATTAGAGATAAGCTCGCCTCTGTACATTATGTTTATAATGAATTGTGATTAACAGTATGTTTTGTGTACAATAAAGAATAAAGAAGGAGTGGATAAAGGATGTTATTAAAAAGGGAGTAAAGAGAATAAATTTACTGTTATGTATATAATAAAATTGTAACTTGTGTAATGTCTCACCGTGGACAGATATTAAGGAATATGATGATCATATCAGCTGTCAACTGTCCACTGTTGGACATAGGCGTCCCACTATTAGGGGTTTTGCCAGTGGTTGTCACGCTAAGTTGGCGGGTTGGCAACCGAGGGACACTGCTACCAATCTCTCGGTACTTAGTTGTTCCATATAATAATCACGTAAAGGGATGTTCAGCTGATTGTTGACCCATTCTATGCCAGGACCACATGGCTGCAGTTAATAAGTAAATAAAATTTCCCTGTCTCGTGCAGCACGGCGCGCGACTTCTGGCAGGCGAAGGGTCCGGCGGATGTACTGGACAAGCTGCAGCGCGGCGAGCTGTCGCTGGACGCGGCTGCGCTCGCGCTCGGCGTTAGCATCAACAACCTCTCTGCCTACATGTCCGAGTGCCCGCCCGTCGAGAAAGGTAAGCGGTGTGGGGGCTTTTACATAGTTAAATAGTTGATGAACATCTCAGAGAATGCCTTATGTAATGTGTGAATGTTTATTACACTATTAGGTGTTTGTCTGTAGGTCTATGTTTATATAATTGTTGTCAGAAATAAAAAAAAAATTGTTTTCTACAAAAAAAAAAACTTCAACTGTGACAAAGTCAGTTGTTATTTGTAACTAAAAATTAAAATACTGAACTAATTTTGGTCAAATTGTACTGAATTTCTAAAAGAATTAAGTCAAAATTATGATAAATTTAGTTTATAATAACAATAATATTTTTTAAGAGCATAGTAGAAGGAAAGATAGAGGGCAAAAGAGGAAGAGGAAGACCGAGGAATAACTACATGGGACAGATAAAGGAAACACTAGGCGTCATGTCGTATAGGGAGATAAAGGATATGGCCTGGGATAGAGCTGGCTGGAGGAAGATGCATGAATTAGTTGCACCGACAAGAGGAGACTCTTAAATGAATAGAAGAATAATAATAATGATATACTTTATTACTGAGACTACAATTTGGTCCATTTTGTTAGTAACAGTTTTTTTTTTATATACAACTTAGAATGGCAAACATGCTGACAGCCCACCTGATGGAAAGTGGTAACCGTCGCCTATAGACATGAGCAGTGCCATGGACATAACAGAGTATACTGTTTCGCCCACGATACCCCCCATGCGTTGCCATTCCTGAGGACTCAGGTGTTATTCCTCTGTACCCAGTAAATTCACGCCATATCCCACCCTTCAAACCGAAACACAACCATGCAAACACAACTGCTTCACGGTAGAAACACGAGTGGGACAGAGGTGGTCAAGCAATTGACTTTTGTTTTCTTACAAACTGTGTTAGTAAAAAAAGAAAAGCAAATTAATTCAAGCAGCTCACTCAGATGTGAGCCAGAATGTCTCTAAAACAGTAATTTCCCAATATTATCAAATTTATTTATTTAATTATTTCATCAACTGGGCGAGTTTTACAGTCACCCAATATGCTCACCCAGGAAAACTACAGTACAATCACATATATAAAAAATAATAATTAACATTAATAAGAGGAATAATAATATTAAAAAGATTTTTTTTTTATGGGTGAAAATGGTATGGTAACCCCACCCCGCCTGCGCTAACGGGATACGCTGGCGGGGCACCAGTGAAGGGTGATAGATGAGAATGAAAACAGGCCAGTTATAGCCCATCATGATGTATTCATCAGGAATTAACCATGATAGTTTCCAGGGGGAACCGCGAGGAGGTCGACCAGGTTGGGTATATTGCTAGCAATGGGATTCTCAGTCTCCATTACTAACAATCCCTTTTCCCCCGTTATTAAAAAGATTTCAATCTAATAAAAACAACATTAGATATGAAATCTCTGAACGCAAACACTCTGTGGTCATCTGACGAAACTCCAGCAACATGGAGGCAAATACGTCCAATTGCGGATACCGGCTATTTACCTAATTAAAATATTAGGTAAAGAAGTAAGTTTAAAAAAAAAGACTCCTCGAAATCGATCCCAGTATCAAAAATAAGTAACACGGTCCACAGAATTCGAGCCGATTCCTATAGAGATCGACCCGTCTTTGAAGCTGCGCGCGCGCACGTACAACAACACTAAGGCGTCGATGCGGAATAAACAGCCCGCGCCCGCGCCCGCCTCCGCTACTGTACCCGCGCCCGCGGCCACAGACAAGGTGACGTTCATATTTTTTTTATTTTATTAACCTACGTTAAATTATTTGTTAATAATAGTTTGAATGTGGCATGGCCTACGTTAACAGTGTACGCTAGTGGGGTACCAGTGAGCTATGGTAGGTGAGGATGAAATTTATCAGTCGGTCCATCGTGATGAATTTAGCCACGATGGTTTCCGGGAAGAATCGCGTGGGAGTCGACCTGATGAGGTATATTGCTAGTAATGGATCTGTTTTTTTTTTTGATGTGTGAAAATGGTATGGTAACCCCGCCTGCGCCAACGGAATACGCTGGCGGAGCACCAGTGAAGGGTGATAGATGATTCTGGCAATTTGGATTTAATAAAAAAAATGACTCTCGTTTATAATATAAGGATTATAGTCTCTGGTTAACGTAAAATATAAATTTACAGCCCAAGAAAGTGCTAATAGGCAGTCTAACGGACGAGGACCCGATACCGGCGACGGTGATCACGACGCACGAGGGGAAGAACGCGTTCGTAGCCAACACGAGTCCCGCCACCGCCACCGCTACAAGTAAGTGGCAATAACTACAAATTTTTAACGTTACAAGCAAATTTTAAGGCGGAGAACACTGAGATCGCCTTGCTACAAGTATCAGCAGTTACATTTTTAAGGCAGGATCATTGTCACGCCAAGATGCTGCAAGTATAATTTTTAAAGCGGGAACAATATCAGGCTACCGAATGTCAACAACTATAAATTTTAAAGCTGGGAACATTGTCAGGCCAGTACGTTACAAGTATCTTTTTTTTTTGTTTAGTGGATGATAATGGAGTGGTAACCCTGCCTGCGCTAACGGGATACGCTGGCGGAGCACCAGTGAAGGGTGATTGATGAGAATGAAAACAGGCCAGTTAGCCCATCGTGATGAATTCATCAAGAATTAATCATTATAGTTTCCAGGGAGAACCGCGAGGAGGTAGACCTGGTTGGGTATATTGCTAGCAATGGGATTCTCAGTCTCCATTACTAACAATTCCTTTCCTCCCTCTATTGGGGGTTTTGACATTAGTTTACACGCTTGGCTGGCAGATTAGCCGCCATAGCTTTGATGATGTTTTAAGGGTGAGGCTGCTGTCCATCCCATAACCTTTAAGTTTCCATAGTCACTTGACAGATCGCTGCTTGACATAAGACATTGGATCCAAAGAGGCAGAAAACAAATAAAACGAAAAAATAATAATTTAAGGCCTTTATTAATTATAATTTCTAGAAATTTCGTATATTATATAGGTTTTTTTTTTTATTTTAACTTTACCTTTACCCAATTTATGGGTCCGTTGAAATATTTTTTTATTGTTTTACTCAGGCGGCAAATGGCCATCGATTCGCGTGGCGAGCCTGGACAGCTTAAGAGCTAGTGGCGGCGGCAGCACCGGCGGCAGCAGCACGGAGTCGTTGCCCGCGTCGCCCTCGCAACTTATGCGGTCCCGGCCCGACCTCACCATAGTGGCCGCGCGGAGGCCCGACACGAAACGCGAGGACAACGGTACGTGATCCCCGCAATAACACTCACCGACGAGCGTATGAATTCAAAATGGCGGATTTTGTCCGCTAAATGGTGTACTATACAAAATGGCGGACCTGATTGCGAAATGGCGGACCTCAAATCAGTTGTGACATTCATCCGCCATTTGGCAATGTAGCTCGGATAAAATCTACATTGTTGAATTCCTTTGTCTTAGACCATTTATCATTTATTATAAAATATTGTCTGATCGAGTCAGTTATTTATACAAAGTGTATAAATATATATATATATATATATATATATATATATATATATATATATATATATATATATATAATAATTAATTTCAATTAAACACTTCCTTGAGAGTATATATCCCATTTTTATATTTATAAAAGTGACAATGGGATTACTGGCTGATTTTAAAACGTCATTCTTCCGCCAATAATGAAATATTAGAATATGAACCTTTTTCCAACGTCGTTAAATTGATTTTTCTTTATCTAGAATAGAGTGTAGAGTGATATAAAAAGATGTGACCGTAAAACATGAATGAGAATTTGTTATAACAATTTTAATATTATGTTATGTTATGTTATATCGAGTGAGCCGATGTGAGATTCTAGATGTTTGTAAATAAATCGATTCTCTTTAAAGTGATGATGGAAATCATGTATGAATTTGTTACAAATTGTATATTTAAATGTAATGACACAACTTGGAACCACTAAATTTAGACCAAAGAATCTCCGTGGCGTTTTTCTTAATATAAAAATGTATAGAATACATCAACATCATTCAATCAGCCGTTACTGTCCACTGCTAAATATATATCTCCCCCTATTGAAGGAGAGGGGCGGTTCCAATAGTCGCCACGCTTGGCAGGCGGATTGGCAACCGCAGTTAGGCTTTAGAGATGTTTTAAGAGGGACGCTGCTGATGTTTTAAGGGAGAACCCTTAGTCGCTTCTTACAACACCCACGGGAAAGGAAGGGGTGGCTTATTCTATGCCAGGACTGCACGTCTTTTATATTATATATATATATATATATCTATATATATATATATATATATATATATATATATATATATATATTTTATATTATATATATATTGTATATTATATATATAAAATTTCTATGTATTACACAGACTCCAGTGTGAGAGTACGCAGTGTTCTTTTTCGTCACATGAATATTTTTGCAAAACTAACTCCAATTAGAACAGATATGATATCTAAATTTTAAATGACTTCAAAAAATAAGGTAAAAATGTATATACCATAGTTATTAGTCTCGTTCTCTCTTCAGAGTTGACGTTGACTTCGAACAGATTGAAAGTCCAATATGAGTTTATTTTTCGCTTGTTACATCTATTCTTTTTTTTTTTGAAGTCAGTTATTTTTAAACAAACAAGTTTGTTTATTGTTTACATTTCATCAGATAGATTGTATCTTTAACGCCTTTTGCTTACATATTTTTTTAAGAACAAATAAATGCGAAGGCCTAAGGCACTTATACAGTTATCTCAAACTTAAAACATCTCTGAATGTTGATATATTTAATTGTAAACTATTTAATTTAATTTTATCTCTAAAATTAAATTAATAAATATCGAATCGGAAAGTTGTGTCATTATTGTTAAAGGTAAATATGTAAAAATGAAAATTATACTCTGCTAAGTGCGTTTATATAAATAGATAAATATAAATATAAAAATAGTTAAATGAACAAAATTATTTATACATAGAAGATTGGTATGTAAAATCAAAGTATTTGTTGTCCAAAATGTATTTAGTATCATTAGTTTTTTGTTGTTACAAGTTCTTATTCGGGAACGGGCAAATGAAATTGTCTATACGTCTTTAAAATTATCGATTGTGACTAAGCGGTAAAACTGTCATATGATGATTGATAAAAGAGGTCGATAAACGTTCTTCCTAATTTTGGTTAAAATAGACTAGGGTTGATCCTAGAGCGTCATTTCTCTAAAACGATCTCTTAATCTAATATTTTTAATCGATATTTCTGAAAAAGTACTATTTAATTAGTCATATTTATAATAGTTTTGATCTATTAAAAATTGACTTCATATTGGTTCTTAGAATAAAGGTTATGCTGTAGTCATCGTTTATATTAGCTGTTAACTGTCCACTGCTGAACATAGGCCTCCCTCATTAACTGTCATCAGGAACGGTCTCGAGCCATCAGCGTGCTAAACTCCCTGCGATGCATTTGAGGTCGTAGTTCCATCTAGCGAAAGTCTGTTCTGCATTACGTTTATTTATGCGAGGTCGCCACTCAAGAATTTTTCTTTCCATCGGTTGTCGGTTCTTTGAGCTACGCGACAAGCCCATTGCCACTTCAGCTTGTTTCTTTACTTACTTTACTTTGGTTCTTCTGCGGATATCCTCATTTCGGTTTCTATCACACAAAGACGCTACTTTATTGTGGTATCAAATTGAAGTAAATTAAGTATAGAGAAATGATCTCTCGACCCCATTGTCTGTATATTCTTGTCGTAGATTATCTGTGGCAGATATCTCTGTTCAAACTAAGAAACGACATAAAATTCGAATGTATTTGTTAATCTAAAATAGGTAAAGACTGTCTACGATGGCACGCCCCTTCAAAATGCAAAAAATTCAAAATGTGCGAGTAAAAACATTTCCAAAGTTTCGACTGAGCAATATAATTTTGCCGGAAGAAATCTCTTATTAGAGATAAGCTCGCCTTTGTACATTATGTTTATAATGAATTGTGATTAACAGTATGTTTTGTGTACAATAAAGAATAATGCTCCTCTTGCCGGACTGCCGCTGAAAACGTCTCCTCACAAACACAAACAGAGCACCACGTCTGTATATGGACATACAAGTTGAAGGAAAAAGATGGAGGAGCGTGCCATGTTAACGTGGACAGTCAATAACTACACCAACTTGCTTGTAAAACTAAAGTTTTACGTAATTAGACACATATCGTGAGAAAACAACAAAACGAATGTTTTATAACATTTATTTTAATTGGTTATGCATTAACATATAGAAGAAGGAAAATACCGAAGAAATAACTACATGGCACAGATATAGGAAATACCAGGTGCCATATTGTATAGGGAGGTCAAATATATGGCCTGGAATAGAGCTGGCTGGAGGAGAATGCATGAATTAGTTGCTGCGGCAAGAGAAAACTCTAAATGAAAAAAAAAATGAATTGTATATTTATATTTTAATTATAAAGACTGTTTACTAAATATTCCAATTAGATAAAATCCTATCCCTATAATGAAGTACAGTGTTTGTGACTCACCGTTCATACCAAAGGTTGACTGGTAGACAATGCTACTAGCATTTTTTTTTTAATGGGTGAAAATAGTATGGTAACCCCGCCTGCGCTAACGGGATACGCTGGCGGAGCACCAGTGAAGGGTGATAGATGAGAATGAAAACAGGCCAGTTAGCCCATCATGATGAATTCATCATGCTACTAGCATTAAGTCCGCCTTTTTGTACCATATTTTCGTTTTGGTCAATAAACTTAGTGCAATGTTTTTGCAACTTCATATCGTATTTGGGGGTTATGCCCTACTGTCATGCTTGGCAGGCAGATTGGCAACCGCAATTAGACTGAAGATATTTTAAGAGGGACGCTGCTGCCCACGCCTCGCTCTCCCTTAGTCGCCTCTCACGAAACCCACGGGAAAGGAAGGAGTGGCTTATTCTATGCCGGTACCATACGGCGAGTGTATTTGGATTTTGGACATATAATATAATTTCCTTTGCCCATTTCTTTAAAAGAACTATTATTATTATTATTTAAATAATATGCCACATGTAGCTATAATATGTTCACGAGAATAGAAAGTAATTGTTTTATAATAATTTCCACGTTGATTCGTACAGATGATATGTTATCCAGTAAGAGAGAAAGAGACGAATATATTTTGATTATTCCTCTCGTTTCAGTGTAAATATTTAGAATTTAATTATTAATAAGCAGTTAGAAGACCAAATTATACCCTATTAGTATAAAAAAAAATATTGTTTGTATGTGTTTAGTGTTAATGATGTATAAAAACCCGTCATTTTTTACTGACATTTGTATAATTAACGAAAAATTATATATTTTTAGTTATATAAAAATAATATAGAATCAGCCACATTTCCATAGATTCTAAACTAGTGTTTTACTTTTTAGGATTAACGAATATATATATATATATATATATATATATATATATAAAAATATAAAAACTCATTGTATATTTATCTATAGTTGTATAATAGTTTAAATTAATAATAATAGAAGGTAACTTTTGCAGGTTAACGTTAAAAAGTAATTTGATATCGATTTAAAACTATTATTTTTTTCTCAATGAATACAAATAAAATATTAATTGTAAAAAAAAAAATATTTACGCAGATTATAAAAAAAATAAATATAATGTTAATTTTATTTCGCAACCGAATTACGTGGCGTGGCGTTGCTAAATCGTCACTATGTAACTTTAGTATACAATATTATATATTTGTATATTATCTTAGCGTTGTCAAATGTATAAGAGCCGTCGTAAATATAAGTTATATAGGCTAATGTATAATATAAAAAATGAAGTATATTTATACATTCACTTGTTCCTCAAACGTCATATTTCTGATAAGCGAAAAACAGGTCACAACTTACAAAATATTTTTACCTTTATACATATACTGGCGACCCGCCCCGGGTTCACACGGGTGCACCTTACATTACATTAGAAACCTCTAAAATTATCATTGTTTCTCTACAATTTTATGCATGTATTATACACGTAATCCTTTCTCTTGAATCACTCTATCTATTAAAAAAAAACGCATCAAAATCCGTTGCGTAGTTTTAAAGATCTAAGCGTACATAGGGACAGACAAACGGGAAGCGACTTTGTTTTATACTATGTAGTTATTTTAGTCACAGGACAAAATTATAATTTCTCTATGCAGCAAACTATATATATATATATATATATATATATATATATATATATATATATATATATATATATATATATATATATATATATAAAAAGAGCCTGCTATGAATTGAGAAAAATAGCAACTGATGTTGTATCTTTCGTCCTCTTTTTACTAATTATATTTAAATAAGAAGAAAGGAGGCGACCATATGATTTACAGTTTTTATCATTCCTTCCATGTAATTCCTTGTTCTTAGAGCCTATGCTACTCATTGAAAACGTAGCTTCCAATGTATTTTACTGTGATGAATTGTGAAGAGAAATGATTTAATATATGATTAACAGTTT